GAGTAATGTATAGAATTGCTGAATCAGGGGCCCCTGGGTGGCTCAGTCGGTTGAGCGTCCGACTTCAGCTCAGGTCATGATCTCATGGTTCGTGAGTTCGAGCCCCGCGTCAGGCTCAGGGCTGATGGCTCAAAGCCTGGAGCCTGCTTCTGATTCTGTGTCTCCCTCTCTCTCTGCCCGTCCCCCATTCATGCCCTGTCTCTCTCTGTCTCAAAAATAAATAAATATTAAAAAAAAAAAAAAGAATTGCTGAATCAGGGCACCTGGGTGGCTCAGTCGGTTAAGCGGCTGACTCTTCAGCTCAGGTCTTGATCTCACGGTTCGTGAGTTTGAGCCCCTCCTCGGACTCTGTGCTGACAGTGTGGGGCCTGCTTGGGATTCGGTCTCCCTCTCTCTTTGCCCCTCCCCCATTTGCTCTCTCTCTCAAATAAACTTAAAAATATATATATATACTTAAAAAAAAATAAGAATGGCTGCATCGCTATATTGCACACCTAAAACTAATATAACACTGTATGTTAACTATATTGAATTAAAATAAAAAATAAAAATTAAAAAAATACCCTTGTATATAAAGAATGCTACAAGGATTACTTATATTCTAGGCAGTGTAAGATTTTGAGTAAGTTTTCCTAATCATCACCAAAATATGAAAATACACTCACCACTGCAAACCTGCAGTGTGAAGATGGAACTGGTGCTTAGGAGCCTCTCATTAGTACTGCGGCCTTAGGCAAGCCACTCAATCCCTCTGGACTTGGGTTCCCTCATTTCTAAAAGAGATAACATTCTTGTGCCCTCCTCTGCCTCAAAGGGTTTTATAAGGTTCAAATGACAATGTATATGAGAAGCACTCTTTTAAATTATAGGCTGTTGTTCAATATTAACTCTGAGGCCACTTGTTTTGTGACTCGTGGGACACTGGCACACCCTAAGAAACTTCAAGCAACAGGAAACTTTCAGCCAAATGATCCATATCACTCCCGGCCCCAACCCTTCATTCTCTGGCTGTCGGGTAAGTCACTGGGCAGGGGAAGGACCTACAACGTGACCAGTTTTGGGAAATTTGTGAACAATCTTGCAGTCCTATCATTTTCCCCTCTGCCACTTTCCACAACCCATATCTCAAACATCTTCATTACCATCGAGAGCCTTCTAGGAGCCACTCAATACTTGGCATCAGTAGGTGTTCAGTATTTACTGTATTCAACACCAATTTAAAATTTTTTTTTCAACGTTTTTTATTTATTTTTGGGACAGAGAGAGACAGAGCATGAACGGGGGAGAGGAAGAGAGAGAGGGAGACACAGAATCTGAAACAGGCTCCAGGCTCCGAGCCATCAGCCCAGAGCCCGACGCGGGGCTCGAACTCACGGACCGCGAGATCGTGACCTGGCTGAAGTCGGACGCTTAACCGACTGCGCCACCCAGGCGCCCTTCAACACCAATTTAAATGTAATTTTTGGGGCACCTGTCTGGCTCAATTGGTGGAAGGTGTGAATCCTGATCTTGGGGTTGTAAATTCAAGCCCCATGATAGGTGTAGAGATTACTTAAAAATAAAATCTTTAAAAAAAAAAGGGATTTTTCACTTCTTTCAGTAAAGTCATATATTCATCCATATACTATTCCTCCATTTTGAAATACTGTAAGCAGCAAGAGTTAGGGGGTCCCTGGGCAAAGAAAGACAGACATAGCTTTCTTGATGTAAGAGAAGTCATTTTAGGCCCCAAACCATCTTGTGAAAGAATGTGAGAACAGCCACCATCAGGCCAGGAGATAGTCTAATCATAGTCAGAAAGCAAAGACTGACCTGATGCACACTCCTGAGTTATCTCTACAGGATTTAAACCCCTTTGAGTACTCAGATCCCAGACCAACTGACGCCAGGGAACGGATGCTGCTGACCCTTTGCAGCCCTTGTGACTTTGACTTGGAATCAGTCACCCCATTGCCATGCTGTATTCCCCACTGTGCAAGCCTCTTCCTGAATATGTATGCACCCTTAGCTTAAAACTCCCCCAATCTTGTTGTTCTGGGACACACTGCTTGGGAAAGATCCCCCATGTTCTCCTTCATTTGCTGCAAGTAAAACCCTTCCTTTTCCTATTCTTTGGCTTGGTTGTATCTTTTGGCTTGACACCCACCAAGAGGCAAACCCAGCTTCAGGTAACAGTAAGACACATCTAACTTTAAGAGAATTCAGGCATGAATTATTAAGCTCTATTGCCAGTCTTCCTGGGTTCTGGCTGGGGGACCCTGGACAAGTCATGTATCTTCCTAAGCCTCAATTTCCCATGTGGAGAATGGAGGTAATAGTAACTTCCACAAAGGAATGGGCCCTGGTATACAGAGTCAGTGCTCATTTAACGAATCATTGTTAGCATGTATTATTCATAAATTACAGTGACTTAAAAAAAAAGTAATAATAATAAGCAAGGTGTCTTGAGGCACTGATGAATGTAAAAGTCAGATGCCATTTAGAATTGGTCAAAAAACTGGGAGAGAAAGGAATCACCTTTTCAGGAGGAAGCAAAAAAGGAGATGAGATGGAGTCAAGAAAGAAAGGCCAGTGTCATGGTAAAGTATTAGAAACAAATGGAATTCCTTTAATTTGTAGAATGCTGCCAAACATTTTAAAGCATTTAAAAACTCACATACGCCACCAGTTCATACTCTAGCTCATAAAGCATTCAGCAAATTGTTTTCAGTTTCATATGGAAGACATTTTACCACAAATGACACAATTAGTATGGCTGGGGAACAGTAAATGCAAGCTTCTAAGTACAAACTACAGTGTTTTATTCTACCTAAAACACTGCCTTATGAGTCATCCTTAATATAAAATTAAACTATTAGAGCAAAATTACCTTGAATATGTTTTCTTTTACAAATAGATCTAGGCATGAGGCTAGTTTTTAATAGTGCGGTGCTCTGTGACACTGCTCGTGTGGTTTCAAAGGAACTTTAAAGCATCAGCATTTGCATTTTTATTTTCACTACCTTCTAAAATACTTCCTTAGATCAGTATTACTTTTTATTTTAAGGAAGAAACAAAGCTTACAAAAGGCTAAAATTACTAGATAAGTCCTTAAACTGAGTAATTAGCACATTTTAATCAGTCTTTCTTCCTCAGCTCAAGGGTTAATTAAACAAGTTATAATGTAATCACTTGTACACAGTAATCAATTCACATTAATCAAACATTAAGAATGTACTAATACTCAGAACAGAGGCTTTCCTTTAAAGATAAGTACTTGCCTGCTTTTCCACCTACCACACACGAGGTGTTAAGTCAAGTTTGAGGAGAATGACTCAGCTAGAAGGGAAGGGCAAAATCCTCCTCATTCCTTTCAGGAAAAATCGTTTCTGACCAGGAGGGAGAGAGCCCTGAAATAGTTAAGAACTTGCCCTCAAAGTTCTAAATACCTGGGGAGATGCGGGAGTTACTTGTTTTTTTGTTTTGTTTTGTTTTCAGTGTCTTCATTTCCTCATCTTTTATTCATTTAATGTTTACAATTTTATTTAAATCCAAGTTAGTTAACATACAGTGTAATAATGGTTTCAGGAGGATGTGGGGAGTTACTTGTAGCGCTGCCACATAAAAAGAAGTATTATTCTTCAGATGGGCATTAAGTAGCTTGAAGCTACTGATCAGTCTTGTTCCACTTTCTCCGGGGGGCTGAATGCGTCAAGCTCAACCATGGGGAAGCCTTAGTTTTCTTTTGTTCCATTTGCCTCATTCTGAGCCGAACTCTACAATGTGGTTTTGGCTCTGATTTCCCTATGTGTTGCCATCCATGAAATCATCCTGGAAGGAGAATTTCTCATCTTTTGACTCTTTTCTCAGGATAATAATAATAATTGCCTCAACTGCTGAGATATACTGTGGTTATGAATGCACTTTGTTGGCAAATAGACACCCCTTCTTATTTTGGTATATAAATCCAGGGAGATAAAGACATACATGCACTGCTTCCTAAAATTTTTGGCTTACATACTTCTTTGCTCCTCCAGAACCTGGTGAAAACTATAGAAAAAAAATTCGGTGTAGTTTCAGGGGTTGCAGAGCCTTAATAAGATTTTCATTTAACTACATCTGCACACAATTGTCACAGTAACTTTGGTGACATAAACGTTTACAAGAAGTACATAAAAGTTTTAATACACTAAGGGAAACAAGTATTTCCAAAATTTATTATAAATTACTTAGAGATTGTACATAAGCATAACTCTGTATTACTTAATAAAATCTTATTCAGTTGAGAAGGAAAAAAAACGGGTGACTATCTTATGCTTTTGGGCCAATGATTAGCACTTTCAAGAAGGTGTCAGTCAGTACAGTCAATGTCTTCTACGGAAGGAGGTACACAAATACTGTGAAACTAACGGAAAGGCTGCATGCAGGGTTAGGAGGAAAACGAAAGCTGCAGGGTCTTATTACACGAAGTACCCAGCCATTGTTCTCCCCGCAGCCCCTCATTTGTCCTACTCCTCCCTATTCCTTGCTATCAGACGGGTCCCTGGATTTTTTGGTTTTTTGCTCTGCTGGGTTTTGGAGCAAAGAAACTGATCACTCACCAGTAAACTGCTGCCGCTCTTAAAAATGAATAATAGGAAAAGAGCAAGTTAAAAAACACTTGGGAAGACCACACACTGGCACTCAGAAGGTTCTAGAAGTTCTGTAGACACGGAGTGTCATAGTCTGTAATCTCAAATAACGCCACTCTAACTTTTACCTTCTCTGGTTTTTCTCCGTTCCCAAACGCTCAGGTCTGTTAACGAGAACGTGGCCACCAATAATGCGCTCACAGGTTCTTAAATCGCATGCGTTCTCTCTCCGACGGAGAGGAAAATCCACCAAGGGCGAGAGAAAACTGCACCATCCCCATGAAGAACAAATCTCAAGCAAGCAACTTCTGTGGCCGCAGCCTGCCCCGGGACCGTGCCGGACCGGCCCGCAGCGCACGGCCTCCGCCCGCAGACCGCCCCGCCGCTCACCTGAGCTCCAGCTGGTCCAGGCTCTCCAGCAGGCGGCTGGAGCGGTCGGCCATGGAGGAGGAGCGGCAGAAGCGCCCCTCGTTGGCTTTCGCGTTGATCTTCGCCTGAGCCATCTGAATCTCCGAGGCGGGGCGGCCAAGAGGTCACCGGCCTCTCCGGCGGCGGCGAGTGGAGAGTCCCGCGGCCGCAGGCGTCGCCGTCACCGCGCGGGGCGCCCGCCTCCCTCTGACGCCCGCGGGGGCGGCCCGGGAGGATGCGCCGACACCGCCGCCGCCGCGTGGCCAAACAAGGGCAGGCGCGCCGCCCGCCGAGCTCAGGGTACGGTCCCCGGCGGGGAGCGACTGCGGCTGCGGGAGGGACCTCGCTGGCCACGGGGCCTCCAGGGTGGGCAGCCAGGGCCCGGGGCCGGAGGAGCGGCCTCCGAGGCACCTGGAGGGGCTGACGAAGGAAGGGGAGGACCTAACTCGATCGCCCCTTCTTGCTCTCCAGACCCGGAAACAACCGAAACCCCAGAGGAGGCTCACAGAACAGCTCTCTACCCCTACCTCTGGGCGCCCCCGACTCTGTGCAGCCTGGATGTAGCCAATTCCCCACACGCCAAGGTACCTAATGGTAGGCTGTGGGTATTACCCAGTGATGGCTTCGCTTAGTTTCTCCCAGCTCTCCTAATTCACGCCCAAACCAAAACCATTAAAATCCTTTGATACGGGGAGAAAAGGTTCCTTTGTGGCACCGATGGCATCTAAGTACGGCTCCTTGGCAGTCTGTACTTGCCCGACCCTGTCTCAACATTTCCTTTCCTGAGGTGGAATAAATGAAAGCCTGGATAAAACCACTGAAGCTTACGGGAAAGAAAGAAAAAGCTACCCCATCTTTGTCTTTCACACCCAATTGATTTTTTTTTTTTAACGTTTATTTTTGGGACAGAGAGAGACAGAGCATGAACGGGGGAGGGGCAGAGAGAGAGGGAGACACAGAATCGGAAACAGGCTCCAGGCTCTGAGCCATCAGCCCAGAGCCTGACGCGGGGCTCGAACTCACGGACCGCGAGATCGTGACCTGGCTGAAGTCGGACGCTTAACCGACTGCGCCACCCAGGCGCCCCCACACCCAATTGATTTAAATCTCCTGTTGAAAAGATACGGCAAGTCACTAGGGCAGACACTATAAAGGTCAGTGAAAGAACAGGACAGGGAATACAAAGATTTATGTACTTAAAAACTTGTGCTTTGCTCCCATCTCATTATAGCTGTCCGCCTCATATTGCAAGGATGAGAATATATATACAGGGCACATTAAATGATAGATAATAACAGTTTAAAGCTGAATTACCACCTTTAATCTGAGATCAAAGACATTTAAATACCTGAACAGAGAGGAGTGCTGTAAGCCTGGATTCCAGTTCCCTCTGAACTCCATCTAAATACTAATAAACTATTGGTGTAGGGGATTATTTGACCTCATTAAATATATTTTGCCATTATCATGACACAAACTTGGAATCCAAAGAGATGTTGTGAATGGTTTGAAAGTCTATCATGGAAGTTTAGAATCATCTTGGACTCTCTCTCTCCTATCCTGTAGATCCAATCCATCAGTAAATCCCCTCCCCTTTATTTTTAGAATATACTGATTCTTCTCTCCAATTGCACTCTACCACCGTGGTCCCCGCCACCATCAGTTCTCACCTGGATTACTCCCAACACCTTCCTGTCTGGTCTTACTTCTCCTCTTGCCTCTGGTGTATATTCTCAATACAGTAATTACAGTAACCCTTCTAAAGAAGGCAGATCACACCATTAATTCTCAGAAACAGGATCTTTCCCTTCTTTATTTTTCCTTCTTTAGTTACCACCATTGGATACACTTGTTTATGATAATGGATAACACTCTATCCAACCCTCTCTTCATCAGTTATGCGAATCATAAAGGAGCGTGGGCTTTGCTTTGCTCACTGGTATATCCCAGTGCTTAGAACAGTCAGAGGCACATGGTAAGTACTCAACAAATACTGTGTGAGGGAATGCATGAAAGAAAAATAAATTAATGATGTAATGAAGATAAGCATCTTTGTCAATGTCAGAAACATATTTACTTTTGTTTTTTTAATCACTTACTTTTGATAATAATACATATAATTTTCTGTAATACCATCTAATTACCTCTCCTCTTTGTGTCTAAATTAAGTTCAAATTATGAAGTAATTAAAAAATGATTAATTGCTTAACAAGTAGAAATATAATCAGTGACAATTATTAAATAAAACATTGAACGACCCAATTATCTTTTTTTAATGGTCATGATTAAATATCCCTTTACTGTCATATAAAAAATTTCATTTATTCTTTACCATACACACCACAAAAACTTCTTAACAGAACATCTGTGTGTGGCACCTCTGGCAGAGAGGTGTTGATTTCTCTTTCCCACATCTGCTTCAGCACTCTTCTTTCTGGATCATCCTTTGTGCTCCTCACTATTGAGCAAGCTCCTGGAAAGCTCTTTAAGGTCCAGCTCATAACTACCTCCTAAAGCCTTGCTTGATGACTTTAACATACAAATGAAAAGCACAATGTGGTCATTTTGGAAAAATGGTAAATTCTCAACCTACATGTCTACTTAAAAAAAATAAAAGCAGGTAGGACAGAACTGACATCTTAAGAAATAAAAACACAAATTGTTTCCAATGTGGATTGGAAAGACTATAGTAAACAAAAACAAGCAGTAATTGTATTTTACACTAAAATATCTAGTTGCAAAGAAGAAAATTTTAGCGATGATTTTTTTTTTGTCTTAAAGAAAAAATTTATATTTATAGAAAATGTTAAGTTTTGTATGGAATTACTACTCAAAATTTTTAGGAAAAGACATTTCTGGTCATGAAGCATATACACAAAGATACTGTGATAAGCCCTTCTTAGTCTTCTAATTATGTAATGTTTTTTATTATTCACAATGGAGCCTGAACATTTAAAAATTAAATGGGTAATATGAAATGTTGGAGACTGACAATTTAATGATTAATTAAAATGAAGACACTTACAATGAAATAAAAATTTTAAAGGGTTAATTAAGGAAGATTACTCCTGAGTAGACCTTTAACATTATTTTTTGAAGATTATGTTTACACAAATATATATAAAGACTAATATTATTAAAAATACATTTAATTCTATGCAAACATTTTGACATCATTCCCTTTAAATAGATAATACAAGTCACATGATAGTCTAAGCAGGTAAAAGGAATGGAAAGGTTTCTTTTTAATAATTTCAAAGAAATTAGGGTTTGTCTTTTTTTTTAAATTCTACAATGTGCTGCCCCAGTTAAAGTAGGAATATACATCTGAGTGAAACCCACAAAGAACACTGCTGGTAAAAATTTTAATCTGTTTCCATGATCAGTTTTCATTACTCTCTTCTAATAATCATAAACAAAGATCTCAATGGTATTCTATACTAGTGCCACATAAGAAATGGAATTTACAGAAAAACTGATCTATGACAGCTTTATTTATATTCATTTTCACTCTAAAAAAATAAACTAGAATCATTGTACAGTACAAATAAAATTGAAGCACTAATGCTATTTGGGAAACATATAAACAATAGTCGAGGGCTTCTCTATTTTTTAATTCTTTTAACCTAAATATATAAATTCAAAGTTGACTGGAAAACTGTGATAACTATATTAGAATACATGATTTATATTTGCATTAACATGTATTCTACTCCTCTGTACATTTTTGCAAAATAGCACAAAAATACAAAGCAAGTATCAGATGCAAAAGCAAAAAAAGCGTGTTTCCAAATACATTTGTACTAACAGATTTCTGGTCTCCTTTAGAAAACAAACTCAAGAATTCATTATTCTGAGTCTCTTCAAGGCCACTTGATGTTGTGTGGTAATATCTTTATAATTACATTTCCTCAAGACTTCTTCTAATAGCTTCTTCTAATTCCACATCTGCATTAAAAGACAGAATTTTAATATTTAGGGCAGAAAATAAATACATGCTTTATATAAATCTCATCAACTACACTTGGGATGATTTGACAGTTTCTTCATAAAATTTGAGTATTTCAAAACAATAAGAATCTGGATATAGTCTCAGGCTGAATTATAATAAATATGAGCTTAATAAGGAACTTGCAAGTTATTTCCATTTAGGGACATGGAAAGTCAACAACCTTCTAGAATCACTTGAGGCAATGCATATAAGAGTTGAAATAGGCAAAACCACGAAATGCCAAAATCTCAAAGAGATTAAAAATTTAGTTTGCAGTGCCTGGGTGGCTCAGTAGGTTAAGTGTCCAACTTCGGCTCAGGTCATGATCTCACACTTTGTGGGTCTGAGCCTCACAATGGGCTCTGTGCTGACAGCTCGGAGCCTGGAGCCTGCTTTTGGATTCTCTCTCTCTCTGCCTCTTGCCTGCTTGTGCTCTCTCTCTCTCAAACATAAACAAACATTAAGGAAAAAAAAAAAAAAGCTACAGGCTAGTGTATAATGTGTGTTAAGTTAAAGCTAGATTCTAGGTCAGGGAGTTGCCCTAAGATGAATTCAAAGGGATGAGGAAATACAAAGAAAACCCAAGTTGCTTCCTAGCAAAGAAAAACAAGGTGACAACACTTATAAAAAATATGAAAACTTATTATAAAGTTATAGTAATTAAGAGTGTGGCCCAGTTTCTAGAAGATAATTCAAGGGGACAGCGTCAAGACCTTAGTGTAGGGAAATATTAAACAGAATTTAAAAAAATATTATGGAAAACTACGGTAATTTGGAATGTATTAAAATTACTTTTATTCATTAAAAGACACCATTAAATGAGGAGCATGGGTGGCTAAATCAATTAAATGTCGACTCTTGATTTTGGCTCAGGTCATGATCTTATGGTTTGTGGGTTTGAGCCCCACGTCTGGCTCTGTGCTGATGGTATGGAGCCTGCTTGGGGTTCTCTCTCTCTCCCTCCCTCCCTCCCTCTCTCTCTCAAAATACATAAACATTAAAAAAAAAAAGACACAATTAAATGAGTAAAAAGGCAAGACATACAGTGGGAGAAAATATTTACAATACATGGAACTTGTACCCAGAAAGTATTAAAAAATTTTCAACCCTGAACAATCAATAAAATAATCCACAAGAAAACTGTTAAGAAATTTGAAAAAGCACAAAAGATTATGTCAAAATGGTCAATAACCTTACTCATCAGAAAAATGTAAATTAAAACTACCAAGAAATAACAGTATATATCCATCACTAGCTAAAATTAAAGAGATCAAATAATTTAAATGATTAGTGAAAATGTACATCAATGGGAACTCACATATGCAACACAGGACAAAAGAAAGTGGCACAACCACTTTGGAAAAACAATTTGGCATTACCTTCTGAAGTTGAACACAAGCAATCCCACTCCTAGGTATATATTCCCAGAAATGCACACATATGTGTATTAAAAGACATGTATGGGGGCGCCT